ATAATATGATGCTTGATGATAGCATTAAATTACTAAATTGCTTGTCAATTTAATTCGCGATTACTAGAGTAATTTTGATTGCGTTTATAGCGCGGAAAAACAATTTGGCGCGAAGTTTGAAAAGACTACAATATAGTATATATGCAAGTACTTATATCTCGTGTACATTAGTAATTCAAGATCGAATTATTTAAAGCAATGAAGATCCATCTTCGACCGTAATAGGCATTTTAAATTTCTGGTATTGATTGTGTTTCTTTATATTTAGTCTTGAATCTTGGACACCTTGCTTGAAAAGTCCGATAGAATTAGATAACAAAAACCTATCTGATTGAATCATATTTTCGCAAATTTCCGTTTACTTATTTAAAATATTTATATAAATTTACTTTGATAAAAAAACATTGTTATGCAAGTATGTACAAAGCTTGAACTGAAAAATTATTTCGCTTCTTAGGTATATTTTTACATATCGGTCTAATGTCATTAATGTTTACTGCTTTTATTAATATTTAAAGAAATAGTATTGTAAAATTTTTTAGACAGACCTTATTTTAGCATTAAAAAAGTAACAGAACAATAACGAATTAGTTACTATTGCTAAAAAGTTACATTTTAAGCAACAGTAATGGTAACGAATTATTTATAAGACTCACTAACTATAGTAATGATAATTAGTTAGTATTTTAACTCAGTAGCGAGTATTAACGGTAACTAGTTACTTTTGAAATTAACTTTCCATTTTCTGATGGAAACTTAACATATAATTGTATTATTTATAAATGACTTTTAGGGAAAGGAGAATTATGTATAATAAAGCAATAGATCCTCCTTCACGTAAAATAGAGATTACGCGATTAGTGGCACATAAAGTAGCACGTCAATGGTCAAGTAATCTCATCAGACTATCTGAGTGGTCTTATTTATGGATAACCGATGGTATTGCAGGATTGCTTGCAGCAAATGCCATTAATGAGGTTTTCTTATTTACATATATCTTTTGCATTAGCTGAAGAGTTAATTTAATTGTAATTAAAGAGAATTAGAGGATATTTAAAAAAAGAATATTTCTTTATTTAATGTATAAAATCACAAAGTTTTGCAAATTTTTTAACTATTAAGAATAGAATATCGACCGTTCAATACTTCCTAATTTTTGTAAAATCTGAAATATAAGAAAAGCTAGAAAATAGCATATTTAAATCAAAATAATAATTAAAAGTCAATGGTGATAAAAAAGTAAAATTATTTGTAACAATAATGATAAATGTAATGTTATTTTGCCATTACATGTAGATATTGCAGTTAATAATGTCAATAGCTAAATAAATGTGTCTTTAAAGGATAACCTTCAGGCGTCTTTAATGTACCTTGCGATATAAAGACGTCTTTAAGACGCATGTTGTTTATTAGTTATTACGCCAAGCATCTTTTCTGATTGAATATTTGTTTAATCATTAAGAATCATTATGTCCAGATTTTTCCAGATCCTCGGATATTAGATTTATTTGTAGTTCAGATTCAACATGATTCTCTTAACTTGGATACCCACTCCCTTATGAAACCTCTTCAACGAAAAATTAATGACATTGCTGATATAGATTTGCTTTTTACCTCTGTTTCTTATATCAAAGGTAAAGTTGAATGTATAACTCCATAAATTTTCTCACACTCACACACACACACACACACACGCGCGCGCGCGCGCACGCATTTATACTTTCTCTTTCTTTTGAATATAAATGTGAGGAAAAGGCTCAGGGCCTTAAAGAAAATTTGTCTATTCTCTTTATCTTACAATGTATAATTAACCTTGTATGAAAATTAAAAAAATATTAAAACTTATAATAAACTATTTTAAATAACAGAATTAATTAAATTCGACAAAATTACACACTATAATTTCATGTTAAATATATCTTATAACATTTTATATTATAAATTTTTGTAGCACCTGTTATATTTCGTATGCTTCAACATATACTTACTGATGTGGTATTTTGGGAGGGGATCAATAAGTATTTAAACATGGAGTAAGTAGTGACTTCAAATATAATTATATTAGAAATTAATTCATCTTATATGACGTTATTACTTTGTTTTGAGGTACATTTAATACATTTACAAGCGGCTTATTATTTAATTGACTTACTGCTATTTGACTTTTAGATCTCAGATAAGGCTTTAGCCTTAAAAACGTAGTCTACTTAAAATATATTAAGTGTGTGATGTAAATTCTAAATTATATTTATATGTAAATTATACTACAATTACGTAAAATACAGCGAAATTATGTATTAAGTATATAAAACATGATTGTATATAATTTATTATAATATTTGATTTAAATTAAATTTCAAAGATTTAGTCAACTTAGCTCTGAAAGCTCTGCCTCCGATTTATGGACCGCTATGCAAATTTCTAAATACCAGCCTAACTTAAGAAGCATAATGCGTAATTGGACAATGACGAGTCAGTACCCTGTGGTAAATGTAATTCGAGAGAGCCGAAGTGGCAATATAATAATATCACAGGGAAAAAACACATGGTGGGTACCTATAACTTATACCACACGAACAGAACTCAATTTCAATGACACTGTGCCTCGCCATTGGCTAACCCCAGATGTTCAGGAAATAATTATTTCAAATATTGCACAATTTGATTGGATTATATTGAACTTGCAACAAACTGGTAAGTATTAACTTATAACTTTGTGAATTAGTGTATTTGCTTCTATAACATAATTTAATTTTAATATTTTTATTTTTAATATATTACTATTAATTTTAATGTTATTATTTTATTTATTTTTTTAATGCAAATTTAAAATATTTACATATTATAAAATCATAATATTATAATATTGTGTAAGATTTCTAACACGTAAAATTTATTTTATTTTCTTTATGTTGTATGTTTGTGCGTATATGCGGCGTACAGATATTAGAACTCTATGCTATTTGTCATGTCCTATATCAAACAATAGCAAACCCTGTCATGTGCAATTTAATACATTAAATTAATTATTTATTTCAGTGTATTATACATATAAAATTATATCCTTGCAATTCCAATAAAAATCTTTTTTAAACGATATATACTGTTTGCAATATTTTACAAAAAGTATATGTGTATATACATATATATACATATATATTCTTTGTTTTATAAAATTAACGCAAAAGATCTAATCGATAATATTTTTATTTGTTATATAACAGGCTACTATCGCGTTAATTATGAACTA